TTAGAGACACATTTATAGTCGTTGATGCCTACATTCATTAAGAAAGAAGGTCTCAAGTCAATAACCTAACTTTCTACCTAAAGACACAGCAAAAAGGAGAGCAAACTAGGCCCAAAGCAGGAAGAAGAAAGGAAATAATAAAAGTAAAAGTTAATAAACAAGCAACAGGTGGGGCGCCCAGGTGGCTCCATCGCTGAGCGTCTGCCTTTGGCTCAGGTGATGATCCCAGGGTCCTGGGATCGAGTCCCACGGTGGGATCCCTGCTTGGTAAGGAGCCTGCTTCTCTCTTGCGCTCTCTCTCTCTCAAATAAATCAAGTCTTTAAAAAATAAATACATCTTTTAATATAATAATAATAATAAACAGGTAACAAAATCCAAGAAACAACTGGTTCTTTCAAAACTGACAAAACTTAGGTTGACTGAGAAAAAAATAAAAGACTCACGTTGCTAGAATCAGAACAAAAGAGAGTACTACCGACCTTCTAGAAATAAGCAATATTCCAAAGGAATACTATGAATAATGGTATGGCAGTAAACTAGACGAGTGGACAGGTTCCTAGAAAGACACAAATGACAGACCCTGACTTAAGAAGGCGACAATCTGAACGGACCCAGCAAGTAAAGATAACGAATAATTGAAAAACCGCCCACCCAGATGGCTTCACCGCTGAAATCCACCGAACATCTGAAGACCGTTTAATACCAGTTCTTCACAAAACCTTCCTGGAAATAGAAGAGGCCAGTATTACCTGATACCAAAACCAAAGACATCACAAAGACCAGAAAACGAAAGGCCAAGGTCTCTTACAAACATGGACAGAAAAATCCTCAAAAAAGAAAAGGGTGGAGGGAGTTGGGGGAAAAAAGCAAATAAAACCCATCAACATACAGAAAGCTACAAAAGAATCATATACCATAACCACGTGGAATCTACCCCAGGAATGCAAAGCTGTCCCGACATCTGAGACTCAGTCAAGGTAACATACTGTACCAACGTGAAAACCCAAACCGCGCGATCGTCCTCAACAAACGCAGACGATCGCCGGACCGCACCGCCCTCCTGGGGTAGAAGTCGCTTCCCAGGAGAAAGGGCACCGACAGCCCCCAGCTAACATCATGCTTAATGGTGAAGGAGGGGCTGCCTCCGCCGGAATCAGGGCTGTTCATCAGGGTGTCACGAATTGCGGCCACCAGAAGAGGTGGGACCCCTTCGGGTTAGAGCCACACACCAGCCAGCAGCCTTTCCTAACGGAGGCAGCTGCGGTCTGGGGCCTGGCTGCCGTGAGCTCCCTGCTCGGCCCTCGCGCGCTGGGGGTGCTGAGTTCTCCCCCGCGCTCCTCTGCTCTCGGGAGGCCCACCCTACCGGGAAGACGGCACAGTTCTAGAAGGACCTCGAAGGCTGATAGCGCTGTTTTTGTTTTTTGGTGTTCGGTTTTTTTTTAAGATTTTACTTATTTATTTGACGGCGATCACAAGCGGGCAGAGAGGCAGCAGAGGGGGAGGGGGAGGCAGGTCCCCGCTGAGCTCGATCCCGGGACCCTGGGATCGGGACCTGAGCCGGAGGCAGAGGCTTAACCCGCTGAGCCCCCCAGGCGCCCCTGGTAGCGCTGTTTTGCTAATCTGGGCTTTCCCAACTTTCTGAGACAAAATTCACCTGAGTTCCTGCTCAAGCAGCCTCCCAACCACCCCCGCCCCGGCCCTGATCCACACGCTCCTGGGGGGAGGGGGGAGGGGGGAGGGGGAGGGGGGCGGGTTGTGCCGGGAGCCGGGAGCCTGCGCAGCCCAGTGCTCCCTCCCTGGTGCCCACCCCGCCCCTCCCAGGCGGTCTCCCCCCACCCCCACCCCGGGAGAGCTACTCCAGGGGCCTCCCTGTTACGAGGGGCCCTGGAGGTGGGGGGGGTCTTCGGAAACACCGGGGGCGTAGGGCGGTGCTCTCGGGGAGGTCCCCACCTCAGCCTCAGCCCGGCTCTGCCGCACCCACCGCACCCTGCTCCCTGGGCAGGGCCGTCGCTCAGGGATTCCGCGGCCTTCCCACGGCTCCTGCGCCTGCGCGGGCTGGGAAGGGGCGCGCCCCGCAGCACCGCAGGACAGGACGTGACGACCCCTCCTCTCCGTAGCAGGGAAACCCGGCTAGTGTCTCGCCGGGACCGCGGGCAGGGGCCCTGGTGCGGCGGGACGCTTGCGGTCGGTCCGGAGGGTGGAGGACGGGCCCCCGCAGCCCCAGAAGCTCGCGGTACTCGTCACAAATAGGGCCCCAGGCTTGGCCCCAGGGCCTCCGCCCTGTCAGAGACAGACTCTCCGGGCGCTGTGGGTGGAGCCGGGGAACCGGGGGCGCAGCAAATCGCGTGTGGCTGCGCCGCGCCTTGTGAAAAGCAACCCCGAGAGGACAGAGGTCGGCTGAGACGCGGAGCGCCCCTCCTTGAGGCCCCAGTGGCTTTGCTCCGGCTGAAGTCCGGAGCTGATCCCTCCCCCCAGGGCTCGCCTTGTCCCCGCCCAGCTGGGCATGCCTGGGGCAGCTCCTGGGTCGTCAGACCTGCTGCCGTCTGTGTGGGGACCCTAAGTGGCCATTCACAGCACCAGACACGGCCTGTGGGGCCAGACGGGTCCCACCCAGCAGAGGTCAGAGGAGGACGATGGGCCCCTTACAACCAGCAAGGCCCCAGGATCTCTGCAGGCGGCCCTGTTCCCTCTTTGGGGTAAAGGAGCACCCCTGGGTGCGGGATCCGGAGCCGGTCCACCGCAGCTGGTTCCTGTCCGGTCCGGAAGCCAGGGGGACGGCCCGAGCTGAGTCCCCTTGAGCGGCTTGGGTGGCAGCGGGCCAGGGAGCTGAGGCCGGGACTCGGTCCGCCGCTGGCCACGGGGGGGCGCTGTCCTCTGCCGCCCAACGGAGAGCCGGACGCAGCCCAGAGCAGGCTCCCTACTCCTCCCTGTCACTCCCTTAGAGGATGGAGGCCCCGCCGGCCTCCCACAGCGGGTCACCCTCGTGCTCCGCCCCAGCTCCTCTCCGCCCCTTCCCCGTCCCCTCCCCCCCACGCCAGAGGACCGGGGCGGCTGCAGTCCCTCCTCCGGTGGACCGCACCCCCCAGCCCCGCCACGGCCGCCCCTCCCTCCGCGGCAGCCTCCGGACCGCCTGTGGTCTCGTCACACCTCCTGCGGCCCTGATCGCCCTTCCTCGGCCCTTCCCAGACGAACCCATTTGGCGGCTGTACCTCACCGGCTGTTTTATTTTCAAGGTCGACATCTTTCAGGGCTCTCTGAGGCCAGGACGGTGGGACACGCAGGTGCCACTGGGCGTGTGGGGAGCAAACCTGCCGGAGCCCGAAGGAGCCTCCCGGAGGCCCGCAGTGACACGGCCGTCTGGCCGTGGGCCGTGGGCTGTGGGCACGCCGGTGGGGGGGCGGTCCCTGGAGAGGGTCCCAGGGTGCTGGTCTCAGCCCCCAGCTCCAGCGCCCGCACAGCGGCGAGCGTCTCGGACTCTCCCCAGCTACCCGGTCCCCGGGGCCCACGTGACACGCCCCTCCCCAGTGGTCAGGCTGATCAGGCCCTGGGAGGCGGCCTGGGGCCAAGCCGGCTGGGAGTCTGTGGCAGGAGCCCGTGGCCAGTGGCTGTCCCACCTGGTGCGGCCCAGCCCTCGGCTGCCTTCCTCACCCCCCACCTCCCCGCCTCACCCCTTCACCCCCCCACCTCCCCTGCCTCACCCCCTTCCTCACCCCAGCTCCTTCCACCCCCTTTCTCATCCTGACCCCTCCTCCCACCACCTTTTCTCACCCCCACCCCCTTCCCACACCTCCCACCCCTCTTCCTCACCCCTTCCCCCTCCTCACTCCCAGCTCCTCCCTCCCCCTTCCCCGCCCCCTTCTCCGCCCCCTTCTCTCGCCCCCACCGCTCTGGGCCCTTCCTCACCGCTCCCGCACCCTGCCCCATCTACGCTTGTCCCTTCACACCCCAGCCCTGCTCACCACGCCCCCATCCCAGTGTCCCGTGCCCTGTGCACCTGCCCTGGCTTCATGGAAGGCGCAGGAGCAGCAGGAGGAGGCCAGGCTGTCTCTCTGCTCCTCCTTCCAGGCTGGCGGGCATTTCACTTCTGTTTTCTGTCTCACGGCTGGCTACGAGAACTGTCACGGCATTCTTTTTATTTAATGCGAACACAAGCAACCACCCGGCTTACGAATTTCCAAGTCTGTGCACTTAAAAGAAGCAGCAGCAGAAGGGGGTAGATAAGGTTCATGGGACTTTTCTGGGATGTGACTGTTAGTATTTATAAGTTGATGATGTGAGTTACTTGAAACTGATTTATTTGAACTCGTGGATACCCAAGCACACAGCTCAGCTTTCCGCGTCCACCAACTTTGCCAACCGCCGTGGGCAGGCCCAGCCTCGGCGCACACGCGGGAGGGCCAGGGCCCTTCCCAGACCGGAGAGGAGGCCACGGGAAGGGGGCCTGTCTGCAGAGAGGTGCGCCGTCCCCGCCACACAGCCCGTGGGGCAGCAGGTGGGAGCCGCGCAGGGAGTCCCGCAGAGTGTGGAATTCTGATCCTCAGTCCAGGCTAGAACCAAAGTGTCAGTACTTAACGGTTCGTGAGACACAGGCTTCCTGCAGCTCTGTGTGTGCTCAGGACCCACAGCTCCCCGCGGGGAAGGGGACCGGCCTGTGGCCGCACTGTCTGGGGAGCAGGTGGCATGTTGGACCCCCTCACGCCCTGAGGGTTCATTTGCACGGAGGGTAAACCAATTTAAGGGCAAAGCTTTGTCTTTCTGACTCCAGGAAGCACACATGCCCAGAGCATTCCTGGGGTCAGCGTGGCAGTCCTGGGTTGGGGCTCTCCACAGCCGTGACGGTGGCCGAGCACGTGCTCCCCGGAAGGATGATGGCCCGGGTTCCACGCCCCCATCAGCGGACGCGTGTGCCAAGCGGAGCAGAAAGAACGATGGGGCCAGGGTCAGCCCTGGGAAGAGGTTGTCAACTGCTCGTTGACAAAGCAAGTCAAGCTTCCTAATTAGCTACGGCGCAGCGGGAAGGCTCCGTTCCTACTAGCTGCGAGCCCCGCTCTCTGCTTCCTGCGTGACCCTCGTCCCTGTCACAGCAACTGCTCTGCCGGCTCACTCGTGCTCAAAGAACTCGTGGCAGGCGGTGGTAACCATGGCAACGAAGGCCATAAATTCCTGGAAGTCACATTCGCCGTCTCCATCACTGTCCAGAGTTTCCATGACTTTGTCCACGACCTCCTGCTCCTTGACTTCCTACGAGATAGAAGAGAAGCTGCCCAGCTTGTTTTTAGTTGAAGTTTAGGGCCATTGAGACACGATTCATGATTAATCGTTGGCTGGCTTTCGTAATTTGTGCGGGAAGTAAGTTAAGATAGAAAATGCCCTGAAATACCAGAAAGGTGTTTCGTGTGATGGGGAGACTCTTGGCTGGGCAGAATCTCTGGGGGTCCGAGCGTCAGTTCCACCCGTAGGTCCAGGGGGACCCAAGCTGCTCAACAAAGACGAAATGGAACAACGGAGTGTGAACACCTGCCGCTCGCTCTCACTGTGCCTAAAACCAGAAATGCCCGGAGAGGGGATGCAGTCCAGATGCTGGAACGCATTGTGAGCAAACATCTTGAAAGAAAACACGAACTTTTGGTTCCCCTAAGTGTTTCACTGCTTCTGGGAGTGGAAGTCCTTAGAATGAAAGTTTTCAGTGGGTTTTCATGTTTCAAAAGTGGGTTTTTGGGGGCACCTGGGTGGCTCAGTGGGTTAAGCATCTGCCTTCAGTTCAGGTCATGATCTCATGGTCTTGGGATCGAGCCCCATATCAGGCTCCCTGCTTGATGGGAAGCCTGCTTCCCCCTCTCTCTGCCTGCCTCTCTGCCTACTTGTGATCTCTGTCAGAAAAAAAAAACAAAACAAAAAACCTACAAAAATGGGGTTTTTTCCTGGAGTGACTCTTGGGAACAGACCCTAAATTTGTGAAGTCCTGTGTTCTTTCTGCCCCTCGAGTTGCTTTCTGGGTGTCAGGGGACTTTCCTGCTGGCTCTGCTGACTGTCACTGCTGCTGAGCGAACGGGGTTACAGGTCCCCGGGGGCAGGCGCAGGGCAGGGCTTTAGGCGCGGTGGGAAGAACGTGGCAGCAAACTTGCACGGACAGCTTACGTGCAGGCCGCTGGGAATCGTGAGCTGCGGGGCGGAGAGTTTGGCCCGAAGCAGTTGGGGGCACATCCACAAGCTGCCTTGAAGAGAGCATATGTGCAGGACAGACTGCAGCGGGGGCTGGGTGGGACCTGGAGACGTCTGCTGAGATGGACGGGAGGGACGCTGTTTCGATTACGTTACAGACTCACCCCCAAACCGAAATTACCCCAATAAAACCAGGTCAGTTAGTGTTGATGATCCCTTGATCCACTTACCATGAATTATTTGTCTTTTGTAAATTGTGGTTCCCAATGCTAAGCTTTCTCTGTTTTAAAATCAACAATTTGTGATGAATGGTTATTTTATGTAATTTATATTATTTTGTAATAACTTTGTTATCACTCATTACTGATAATTGCTTGTTGAGCTGTCACTAGAGGTTCAGTGCTTGACAAACACTGTCTCCTTTCACCCTAGAACCACCCTCGTCCACAGAAGAAACTGGGAGTTGGGGCCGTCAGGGTAGAAGGTGGGGTGGGCGGGGAACCGAGCGCACCGGCGGACAGCGGCTCGCGAACCCGAATGCCTGAGAAAGCCCCAGAGTCAGCCCCAGAGACGCCCACCCCCGCCTGCTGGTGCGTCCTGGGGTTCGCAGCGATGGCGTGTTTTGGTCGGGGTGTGGACAGGAGCACCCCAGGCGGCCCTGCAGACGGTGGGCTCAGGAGGGCGGCTCCGCTGCCCCGGCCGCGGGGCCACGCGGGTGTCCTGGCACCGTTCCTGGAATTAGCGCTTGCTCAGACCCTGGCGCCCTGGTTTGATGTCTGGCCGTTTCCTGTGTGTGGCCTGGGTTCTGGGCACGAAGGGAAGGTCAGCAACCGGCGGGACTGCAGTCCGTGGCCTCAAGGGCACCGGACGGGGCGCAGTGCAGACAAAGGCTGATCCGAGGGCAGTGGGGACGGGGGCGGCTGCGGCCGTCCACGCACCAGGCCGGGCGTCCCAGAAGCGGGGGCCGTGTCCTCGGGCCTGCGTCTCCCCGCGGTGAACACAGGACGCCGTCAGTGACCACTTGCTGAGTGAATGGCGTCTGGAGGCTCCCCGGTGGCACCGATCGTGCAGCTAATGCGGGCACAGCCCTCCCAGACCAGAGCTCACTTCTAACCTCTTTCTCCTGTGTGCACTGTGGCCCAAGTACGTCATGAGGACACTTTACATCCCACCCCGCCTTCATCACTGCTGTAAACCCTCCCATTTGTCGGGAAAGTCAGCATTATCTGCGACCTGTGCTTTGGCCTTTGAGACAGCAGTTTCTCCTGGCTGCTCCCACTATACACGAAACATGAAAAGGAGAACAGGGGCATCTGAGCTCGCCTCTAAAATGGGGGTTCACTGGGGTGCCTGGGTTATTCAGTGGGTTAAGCCTCAGCCTTTGGCTCAGTCATGGTCTCAGGGTTCTGGGATCGAGTCCCGCATCGGGCTCTCTGCTTGGCAGGAACCTGTTTCCCCCTCTCTCTCTGCCTCCTTGTGATCTCTGTCAAATAAATAAATAAAATCTTAAAAAAAAATAAAATGGGGGTTCAGTTGCACCAACACGTGTGGAGAACACCAGAATCACCTTCAGGCAGCCCAGAAGAGAAAGCGCACAGTGATTTTATGAGTGGACGGAGAACGGATAAACAGGATTTTAAAAAGCGAGACTGACCTCTAAAAAGTGGGGGAGCTCACTGTTGATGAGCTCCTTGAGTTCGGCTTTCTTCAGCTTGTGCTTGTCACCCTCCCTTCCGGAGTACTGGTGGAAGACATCGATGAGGGCCACCATGGCCTTCTCCAGCTCAGACATCCCGGGGTCCACAAAGGAGAGATGCCCTCTGGTGCTTTCTGCCTTGTTTGTGCACAGAACAGTTAACGCGTTAGCTCTAGAGAATTCTGCCCAGAGGAGGGGGCCAGACTGGCCTCGGCTCATCCCCCTTCTGGCAGGGAGCCGCTGTCCCAGCTCTCCCACCGCAGCGTAGATCCACTCCCGCCCGCCCCTCCCTTCTTCGTCCCTGCGGCCGCATCAGCCCAAGTTCCCGCGTGCCCCGGCTTCCGCGCGGGTTTGGCCCATGGGGGACTTCAGCAGGAAGACGGGCGGCGCCGTGAGGGGGTCTGGGGGCCGATTCCCGCTTCCTCCCCTGTAGGCCACGCTCTGCCCTAAACGGGCTCCAAGACGAAGGGACAGAGAGCAGGGGAGCAAAGCGCTGACCGCCAGACATTAGAATTGACTAGAACGAAGTAAGGTGACCAGGAAGAAAAGGAGCCTGCAGAGATCGATGGTGTTCCTGTGAGCCACCAGTAAGCAACTAGCGAACAGAGGAGAAAAATCCTGTTGGTAAATTCACAAAGCAGCACACGCATATTCAGAATAAGTTTAGCAAGAGAAGTGCAGGTCCTTCTCCAAGATTCTAAGGCTCGTAAAATGCAGGAACCTGCTTTCCTTTGAAATAATATGTAAACAACTCATGTTAAATACAAATCCTTAAAGGATTCTTTTTTGATGGGTGTGAGCAACACGACCGGAAACCGCTGGAAATCGGACTAGAAACAAATACGGCAGAAATGCCGCAGATATTCTTAAACGAAGACCAGCATCTCAGTGACAGATCGAAGACGGCCCACCAGAGACAACAAGGTACCACAGGCCGTGGGGCCGGGCTGGTCCGGAGGCAGGACCCACAAAGCAGCAGGAGGCTGAGCCCGCCAGGCCCCTTGTGGTCTCTGCAGCCTCCAGCGCACCCGGCGGGGCCCCAGAGTCGCTCAGCTTCCTGGGGTCCTCTCCGCCAGACCTCAGACCGCGGCCTGAAAACGGGAAATATCTGTTTCATCCTGGGACTTGGGAACGTTTTACCAAGGACCGCCTGTCAGCTCTTCCACAAAACGGAGGCAGCCAGAGACGTCCACCGACCTCCGGCCTTGAGTTCCCATCAGTGAAGGGTCCTCGCACTGTCTCAGCTGAGAGTAGTTGCAAAACTACATCTCGTTGTTGAAAAATCACCCCCATGTTGGATACATCACTTGTATCTAAACAATATATTGGAGGAAATATTTAACACTTTATTTATTTCTGATTTTTTTTTTTACTTCTGATTTCTCAGAGGAGAAAGCATTGTGGATTTTTGTCTTGACCTGACCTCTGCTACAGTCACCTTACTAATAATCAGTATCCTTTGCTTTGCTCTTAAATCCCTAAAAATCAGATTTATCACACATGGATGGAACAAGTCAGATGGATTAAAATCTTTAACGTTAAAAAAAAATCTTTAACGTTTCATTCGTTCTTACCCTTTGCACTCAGGTTTTCAATTATTGATTTTGTTTTTTGGAAACAAAACAAAAAAACCCAAGAAACATTTGCATTATTCTGATGTTTCAGAAGAAGAAGAACTTTGAAGTCTGTGATCATTTGGGGAAGGAGAGGCTGACTTATTTTTCCATAAAGTATGACTAGTGGGATTTTTTTTAAAGGAAAAGCATAAAACATATATTCCATGTTCGAAAGCGCCATATAATGTGACTTCATAACCACACTGAAATTAATTAAAACGTTTTTCCTTTTAAATTCTTCCCTGCTTTAAAGCTTATCTTTTAAGAGAAACGGAATCAAACATCTGTATTTCCTTTCTGCTTAGTTCTCTGAACGTTACTCCTCGGCCAGTCAGCCTCTTAGTCCGGCATTAATCTCTCTGCGTGGAAAGCAAGAGGCTTCTGGGCTCTAAGTGCCCAAGGACGCATCCTTGGGACGTGGGAAGGGGCCCTACCTCCCTGAGAAGTCTTAACCCTGAAGAAAGTTAAACCCACCAAACCCCCAGTTTCTCTGACCCAGTTTGTCACCTCCCCCCCAAGCCCTCCCAGCTCTCCTGGACTTCTGGGTGGTCCAGGCCCCGGGACCCTGGCGGCAAACCCTGGGCCTGGACAGGAGCTGCGGGAGAGAAAATGCTCGTCTTTGGGGTGGGGCTGGCCGAGCTCAGGCTGCCGTCAGTCCCCCGGGGGGTCCTGAAACCCCTGAGACTTGGGGAAGTGGCGTCATTCGTCAGCCCTCCTGAGGCCACGTCCCAGTGGGCTGCGAGCAGGGACTGCAGCCCACTGGGGTCTGAAGTCCCGCTGGGTCAGCCGGGGTCACGTCCACACGGCGGAACGGGAGCCGCACCAGCCGGCCTCAGGGGTCTGGGGAGTCGCCACCTCATTCCCAGCCCTCCTTCCTGCCCCCCAAAGAAAAGAGCAGGTTGTCCCCGAGGGTCCTCACGTCAGCGGCTGTGGGCTGCTCCGTGTCCCTCTGGGCTGTGCTCCCGAGTGGCCAGGCGGCTGCGGGGTGGCCTCTTATCCCTTCCCGGCCCGGCCCGGCCCGGCGGGTGCTGCACTGCGGGGCCCGCAGCCAGGGGGGAGGCGCGGGAGGGGGTGCGGCTGGGGCGGCGGGCGGCCAGGCCTGCACACAGGGCTGCATTGAGCCCGCGGCCACCCGGGGCCTGGCTCGGGAGCCAAGCCCGCACTCCGGCCAAGGAAGAGAGTCCTGGGGGGCAGGAAGCCGGGCGTCAGCTTTCTGGGCTGCTTTAATTATACACGAAGATCGATAGGGCTATGAAGGCGAGGCCGGGGTGGGGAGAGGACAGAGCCCCGGTCCTTGATGCAAACAAAGCACATGCTCGGCCAAGACCGCAGCGCTTCCAAGTACAGGCTGAGCAGGGGGCTGGGGGCCGCGGGCTGCTTTCTGGGGGGGCCTCGGCACTGCCCCGAGCGCGGCCCCCAGCCCGTCCCTGCCCGGCCTCCCTCACCGCCCCCTGAACGGCCACCCCCGCGAGGCGCACACCCGCCCCCCGGCCCGCCCCCCGCATTGGGCCCGTCTCCTGATCAGGTTCGCAGAGGCCACGGTCGCATCCTACAGGAGCCGCCTGTGGACACCGCTGTCCTGTCGCCATCTGCTTCACCAGGAACTTCTTGACTCTTCGACACGTAGAAGTGTGTCCTGGACACAATGCTGGGCCGTGAGCCTTGGGGCTTGAGTTGTCCCCTCCTGGCCCCCAGCCTGTGCCCATACCTGCCTGCGTGGAACCTGAGTGGCCTGTGCTGGGCCTGCGTCCTCAGTTGCCCACGGGCTGCTGAAGGGCCCCATGCTGTGCGCGCCCCGGGTGGCAGGGCTTGCCCACGTCCAAGGAAGGAGCGACTGGGCCCCGGGGCCATGCGCCCCGCGCTAGGGGTGGCCGGCCCTGTGCTCGCTCCGCAGCGCCCACGCCACAGCCGCTCCCGCAGGGGGACGAGGAGTGTGGAATCTGCCCATCCGGCCGCCGGTCGCCAAGCACGGCGCCTGCCCTCGGGTTGCCCGCAGCACGGCCTCCCGCCACAGCCGAGGGCACTGGTGCGCCCACCCCGTGCCAGGCTCTGTGGGAGCAGAGAGTGGGGAGAGGGTGCTGGGCTCCGCAGTTTCCCGAGAGGGGAACGGTCACCTGGAAGAGGGGGGCTTTCAAGCGCTGGGGCCCCCGTGCTTCCTCGACGTTCCCAGCCCCCAGCGGCAAGGGGTCCGGGGCCCAAAGCGCCTCTGTGGCCTTTGCACTCACAGCTCATGCCGGCTCCCTCTCCAGACTGCCTGGTTAGGGTCTCCTCTCGTCACCCTGGACCCCTGGGCTAGTCCTGCGTGACCGTCACATCCACGCCCCGCCCGCAGCTCTGGTCCCCAGGAGCGGCTCGCCCCGGCGCAGCGAGAACCACATTCTCCAGTAGACCACGCAGCCTACGAGTGGCCCCACGCGTGGCTGCTGTTGGAACAGGCTCCTTACTTTCAGCGGGGGGATGGGATTTCAAAGTAGCAGAGGGAGCTCCAGGCGTCAGCAGGCCTGGGTTCACGGAGATCTTTGGCCGCGGATGGCAGCCTGCTCGAGCCGGCCTTCACCCGAGCCGTAGCAAAAACTCCAGGTCTGGGAACCCAAATCTGACTGGAACCACCACAGTGAGGGATCGCAGCCTCTCTCCCAAGTTCCCAGATCTACGCTGGGTCAAAACTCCAGTCTCGCGATGGAGGACAAGGCCCTAGACGGCCACCAGTACCATCAGGAAACTTCCTTCAGGCTGTCCCCAAGGCACCCGCAGCTGCTTGCTGATGTGCGCACAGAGTGGAAAAGAGGATCTGGAAGGAAGTTCTTGCATCTCTCCAGGGGTAATTAGATATGGGCTCTGCGTTGGCGTTAACTCCTGGGGCCACAAAACGGCACCATGGCCCCCCACTCCTATGTGGTGTTCGGGTGACAGAGTCTTCACCCGACCGGCTCCCCGTGGGACCGCGGGCGCAGGGGCTCTCCGGGTCCTCATTTCTTTAGCTCCTGAATGTGTACTTGGGACAGACACACTCAGCTGCTGGCAGAGCCTTCCCAGGCTCCCTCACGCACGAGCGCAGGATCAGTAAGACAGAAGAACCGGGCTGGGGGGCGTCCCCAGAGCTGCCCCTTCTTGTCATGACAGTGAACTGAGCAGTACTGCAGCCCTGGGAGAATTTTAGAGATTAGCGCCGTCGTCAAAGAGCCGGTGTAGACAAGGGCGGTGATACCACAAACCCATTCAACCTGCCAAGGTAGCCTGTGTGGACAGCGAGTGCATTGTGGAGGATGGAGACTGAACGGACGGGTCAACTGGTGACTTCATTTGGAGTCGCCAGATGGGCGTCTCTCTTGGAGAAGACCCGACACAGCGCCCGACACTTGGTATCAGCTGTTGATCTGACTGGGGCCTTTTCCTCAAAACCAATCACTTTTTTTTTGGTTAGTGATTTTATTTTATTTTTCAATTTAGATTCAATTAATTAACATACAGTGTATTACTAGTTTC